CTCTACACGCTCCCGAAGTTTTGCCATTTAATTTGGAAACACCCTGTATATATATATATATATATATGTGTGTGTGTATAATTGTATTGTTATTAATTGTTATTTTTATACAAAATTGTTTACAACTTATGTAATGTTTAAATATTAATTAAGAAATAATACGATTTACAATACATTAAACAACATAAACATATATAAATATTATTTTTAGAACCATTGTTAATTTTATAAGAGGAAATTAGTAGATAAGAATAAAAAAGTCAAATAGGAAAGAGAATCTTATTTTCAATTAAAGCGGATCTTGGTGCTTAATATTCGTATGTAAATTTACAAATACATTCTTCAGTTCTATAAACTGCGCGCCAATTCGGTTTATCGGACTTGAAACGCAATAAACTAGAAAATAACTTCACAAATTACATTAATCATCGATTTAATAATGATGCTAATGAGCATCTTAAAACACTGCAAAAAAATTTGTTACGAGAAATATTACCTTAGCCAGAGTTACTGTTAATTTTCTATTATATGCTACAATCAGCGATTCGTAAAATGTTACAAGAAATATGATTGAACATCATTTTGGATGTAAAATATCTCCTCATCACAATATCGCGAGTGCGTGTCAAACGTCCACGTTAGATATGATAGATGTGGGCAACCGACCTCCTATAGGTTCCATGCGCAAACTCTTAATTTATTTCTAGGACGAACGGAAGGAGCACGCAGTGATAAACCGCTTTTGGCTGACGTCCCAGAGGTTGAGTTTGCAAACTGCACGTTAGGGAAGTTACAAGGTACACAGGGTATTCTATATGTAGCTATCATATCACTCTTCACTTATGAATTTCTGGATCAATTCTCAATTGCGATGTAAATTTTTTCTCTCTGAAAATTTTATTTCACTATGTGACCTAGTTCTTAAAGCGAGCTCTATTTTTTGGACGGTAATTGTCTTAACACATCTAAAATGTTAAATCAAGGCAAGTTATAATTTGCATAAAATAAAAAGTGAGGTATTACCATCTGTGCGCAACTGTCCAAAAAGTTCTGCAAAAAGCCAATCGTGTTTAATTAATCACAATTCCAGAGAGTTATTTTACCTCTTCATGAGAAAAAGAAAACTAACTCCATATTGATCGAATGGTCTCTTGGTGAAAGGCAGTGAGATATGTCTGGGACACCCTGTGTAAAATCACAGTTCTTACCTACCCTACCGCAATGCGACCACTGCACATTTGCTCTATATCCCAGAAAACTGAAATTTATTTGTATCCTTTTTCTTTTGATTTTGTGCTGAGGTATAGCGAAACTCTTTCCTAGAATATACCCGCCCTAAATTGCGATCATCAACTATACTTTCTTCTTACTTTTCTTTTATGGTTTTATTAGGATATCAAATGTTTTATTTGACATGGTTTTACGTTTATATATGCTTTATACATTAATGCTTGCAACGTTAATGAGAATGTTAATTAACATTTACATCTTCTAAGATACATCTCATGTATCTTAGAGGATGTAAATGTAAAAGTTTTTTAAGTAAATATTTCTTACTTTCGAAATGTTATAATTTCATATTAATAATTTATTTATCAAATATATTTATAAAATTAGATCACGTTTCTTTCATAACTTTCTAGAAAGTGTCTGAAAAGTATTGGTAATTATAATTGCCAATATTGTCTTAGAAAAAAAAAAGCCTACTACCTTCGTAACGAGAAAAATAACTTTTTACATTAAAAAAAAATATATATATAGTATATTTGGTACATTACGGAAACTACTAAATAACGCTTACATATTTTTGTCAGAAAATATTGCTCTTAATCGGTAATCATGTGACGTTAGAACTAATTAAGCCAAACGAAAAACAGAATTATCTCGTACCTAATGCTCGATGAAACCCCGTGAGAATCACGCCCCGTCGCAAATTACTTTCCACTCCTGCTAAAGTTCTCCCCAAAACAGTCGCGTGCCTCTGTGCGCGCGCGCATAACCGCTCGTTTGTGCCTCGGTATGTATGTGTATATACAAGCCCATATCGTGTAAAGCGAAGAGTGTATACGACACTCTATCGCTTTCCCACCACGTTCGCTAGGTGGGCGAGGCACCTGCGACCTCTTTCGCTGACCCATTTACGAGCTGCGAGATACGGTACGGCGTTGCGATTCTAAGTGGAAAATCGAACCATCCCCCAGTTCTTCCACGCGTCGAGGTCGATCAACGAAATATGAGGCACCTGCCCTTGTCGTCCCCTATTACACTCTTCCGCTTCCCTTAAGTATCCTGTCCTTGCTTGATCTCTCGTAATGATTTTACGCAAAAGTCATTTGAAGCCAAAGTTACTTTTCTAAATAGTGTGAAAAATAATTAACGTATCTGATTACAATCATAGGATTTTTTATTCACAATACTCTGCTTTTATATCGTAAAGTATATTTATTCTTATAATGCGCGCGCGTTCTGCTTATTATAAAGATTACTTAAATAAAATCCGAAAAAGTATTTAATATAGTAAATTATAGTTTTGTGATACTACTTTTGTGTTATTACTTCTTAATATATAGTTAACCAATAATTTTTTTTTATATAATTCCTCATTTGCTCTTTTAATGATTTCTCAAACTATCAAATATGATTTTTAGAAATATACAAAAAAAATTCTATAATTACTTTTTTATTATATTAATTAGCAAACAAAGATCGAGCTACCCACTTCGTTGGACTAAATTAAAAAAACATTTGAAAAGGTTGCTGAAACACATTTGTTAAATGAATATATACTATTTTTTATTAAATTTCATTATTTATCATTTCATTACTTTTCATTAATATGAATGATGGTAACTAGCTATTCTTCTATCTATATTCTTTTAAATAAATAATTTTCATCTGTATGATAATGTAATATTAATATAAATGAATGTGAATTTAAGCAGAGAGTGAGTTTAAGTTAACAATTATCTCTTTACAAGTCGTAAATTGGCTATTATAAAGTTGAACAAGCTAGGAGAAAGAAGAGGATAAAAAATTCATATAATTCTGAAACGTGAAATGTACTTTTTTTTTCAAACGGATGAAGTAACTATTTATTTAATCTTTCAAACAAGAATATATATATATATTTGCTGTATTATTTTTAAACGTTTTTATATTTTAATTTTTAAAGAGTGTATGTACGAACGTATTCTAAATAAATTGTTTATTGTTATTTTTTCTTTCGGTAAAGGAATGATGATTACTTTGATATTAATACAGTAATTAAAAAATTTTATTACAGTAAAAATGAAAATTAACAAAATATTTCGATAGCATATGTTCTTAATAATCAATGATTAATAAATAACAATATATGATTACGACAAATCCAAATATTGAGTAAATATATAATAATAATAAACATGTACAAGTAAAAGCGTTAATAAATGTAATATTATATTAATAAATTTATATATATGTACATATCTTTTTTATATATGTTGAACAAACAAGTGAGAAGTCCTGTAGCAAAAATCATGAAAACAAGTTTTTTAATTTTACAATTATTGTGCTATGCTCTTTCTCTCTCTCTCCCTCTCTCTCTCTCTCTCTCTCTCTCTCGCTCGTTCGCTCGCAATATTATTTTTTAATCAATAATTAATTTTTAACTAAATTTATTTGTATCTAGTTCTCGTAATTTGAAATTTGCTATATTTCGTGTTATTAGCAACAATACTTGCCCGAGGTAATCCCTGGACGAAATAGACTCCCATGACATGGCTGTGCGTCTTTCTTGGTGCGACTTTTTCTCTCCGTCTCGCGGTGCAGCTGTTTCTTCTCTCTTTCTCTTCCTCTTGACGCTCTAATCCCATCTCTCGCCGCCAGCATTATCACGTCCGCGCACCCGCGTGAGATAAAGCATATCACTTTCTTGATTTTGCAAATTTGCACAACGCGTGATCACGCACGATGCAACGTGCTTGAGACTTTAATCGTCCGCATTCAATCGATCCGAAAGACTGGTACTCGATGTATGTAACGATTGCTATCGAATCTTATCTATCGCCCAACGAGCTCGAGGATTGTGCGAACAATAATCGTGATTTCGCGCGACTCAAAACATACAAGGACTGCGCGTCTGCTTATATCGATCATCTTACAAATTTATTTGGCGTTTCTCATGTTTGATAGCGCCAAAACACTCGCATCGGTAGCGAACGGAATCAAACACTCGCCGAAAAGTCTCTCGAGTTCGATCGAGAGAAACTCTACTTCAATAATTTGTGCGATGGAACGTGAAAGGATATCTTGCTCCGACAATACGAAGTAATAACAGTCGAAGATCGATGGAAGATTTTAAGTTCTAGGACTTTCAATTAGATTTAGAGATTCGCTTATGTAATTGTTCCTTAAGGATTCCTTGTCGTAGGATGTACGTTCGAAGGGAGTGGAGCTGAGCCGATAGTCATTGAGGTAGATCGAGGATTTGTCTCGTTTGAGTTGATTTCCTCACTCAGGGGATTTTCTTTTTTTTTTCTTTTTGGACAGACTCGATGCGCTTATTTACTAACGTATAGGGATGCACACCTCGGTCGAGAAAAATAATTTGCACGCCCGCGTGTCTTTGTACTTATATGCCTAATTGAGCACCGTGGACTCGCGCGAGTACTTGCGCGCATTGACGAGAAATAGAGAGTTCCGTTGGGAGTTCCTCTCTTTCTTTTTCCGTTAACGTAATTGGCAAATTGTTTCGTGGCAGTTTCTCCGATCAGCTGATCGATAAGGATTGTATTCAGGTATTCGACTCGTTACCACATGTAACATACGACCGCTCGAGTCTCACGGTACAAGTATTTAAGTATCGCCTTCTTCTCTCCCTCTGTCACCCTGTTCGCCCTCGTAGGAGTGCGTAAACTGCTTCGTAGGAGCGAGTAACTTTTCTTCGCTTCTCACGTTTCGCTCGCTCGCGTTTCTCGGTTGTACGACTCTTAATTTTCTGGGAGTTTCTCTCTCCCGCGAATATAATTTTTTTTTCAGCGTGTACGGTTTTCGTGCGGTCGAATTTATCGATATTTGATTATCGAGAATCGCGTAACGTGATATACTATGTAATTTGTCAACGTCGTTATTTAGATCTCTATGAAAAGGTTAACACACGTATAATATTTATATATATATATTTTATCTACGATGTATTTAAATAAACTTTTAACATGTATGTATATTACATGTATCTTCTAATATATAGATCCGTGCGGTGTTCCGCGTTTGTGTGCGTGTATGTGTGTACCCGTATGTACATGCGTGTATACGCACTTGTTTTTTCTTATCGAACGTATTTAATGTTTCACTGTACTAAGTACAGTAATCGGTCGCCCCAAATTATTCCGGCGTGTGGGACGGTGCTGAACGTGCGTTTAAGCCTTAAAATACGATTAAATCTTTTCGCTGCTTTTCAAGAGTAACGACAGGGATGGAGAGATTTCGTACGATATTGCGATATATCACTCACATTTATTAATGCTCTACGTGAATCGACGTGAAGTAATGACGATTAATCGACGGTGAAAACGTGCCACGGAAAACGATCGTCTTTTTTTTTCCTTTTTAAATTTCTCTTTTTCTTCTCGTACTATTTTTTTTTTATAAAACTTTCCTCAGTTTTGACGCGTGTTCAGCACCTAGAAGGTTAAGGGACGCGTTGTCCCCGAAACTAGGATCGCGTCGGCCCGCGGTGTCCCAGTTATCGTCGGTGACCCCCGGCGCGCTTTTTCTCCCCCTCCGAAACCTCCCTTCTACCGTGGAACGTTCTAACTTCGCGAGAGCTCGCGCAAGTGAGATACGCGAATTCCCGTTCGCGAGATTCCGGGCGGATCCATCGAGCGTTCTCCTAATTCCATAAACCGTTGACGTTGTTTCTTCCCTTCCGTTTCGGCGGTTATCTCGAGATGTTTACACGCCACGTGTGTGCGTGGGGAAGATTTCTTTGTCTCGTTACGTATCTTTCTACATATCGTTTACAACGGAGTATTAGCGCAGTAGCAACAACAGCAGCGAAATACGCGTGTTGTTTAGCCCTTAGAATTCTCTCGTGCGTCTCTCTCCTTTCCCTCGTCGTTCCCAAGGAACTCGCGTATCCGTCGAGATTCGGCCGGTGTCTCTTGTATGAGAAGCTCGCGCGAGAAAGCGCGATTTAGATGTGGAACAACCGGAGCCCCGTCCGAGGTGGTCGCGACGAGGTGGACACGTCCGTCAGGCAGTCAGCGTTCGTATCTGGCGCCCATCGCGCGCCGAGCGCTCGCGTACGTTCGTAGGCCAAGCAGCGGCGCGTAATAACGATGGCAACGCGGCCGTTCCCGCTCGCTGACGATGAGACAGTAGCCGTGGTGGGCGCCCCGAGGCGTCTCCTCATGCCGTCGTTGATTGATCCCCCGTTCGTCTCGGTTTCAGGCCGTCGCGTTCCGGCCTTGTCCCCCTTCCGTCGTTTGTACCACCGTCTCCACCGTCTCCTTCGTTCGCCGTCCCCGCCGCTCCGTCTTTGGCCACCGCTCTGCCGCCGCGCGCGCGGAAAACCGTCCCGCGACCGCTCGTTATCGGCAACGAGGACAGCCGAGGCCGCGGAAGGTTACGGGCGCGCGATGCGGATCGAGAGAGGAGCCCGCTGCGCGCTCACACACCCTCCTCTCTCCAACCCCTGTCTCTCCTTCTTTCTCTTTCTCTCTCTTTCTCTCTCTTTCTCTTTCCGTCTCTCTCGCTGGCGCGCGTATGGGGTTGGTCCTCTCGCGGAGGTACGCCGCGCGGCACCCGCGAAAATCCACCGTCGGTGGCCGGAGCAGAACTGTCGCGCCCGAGCCGCAGCAGCCCGCAACACACGACCCAACCGATCC